GAATCCCATTCCAGACCCACTACTCAGAAAATCTGGTAGCGCCAGGAATCGAACTCCGATCTCTGGATCTGTAGCTAGGAACTCACCACTAGACCACAGAGGTGAGAATACTTTAAATTTCTAGGCTGTGATGCGACATATGAAATGGATGAGGATATAAACCAGATGAAATGAAGGCAGCTCAAGCTGTCTGTGGAAGAGTTTGCAAAACAGTGAAAGGGAAAAGAAGACAAGACGCGCATGCTCAGATCTCACTCCGTTATGACTGCAGCTGTCTCGCTATGCGGCAGCGAGGTGTAGCCTAACGACCAGGGGCTAGATTGCAGGCAGTGGAAGTGCATTTGAGAGTGGGCAAGGGATGTGCAGGACAAGATCATCAAAAATAAAGAAGCCATTAGAAGTTAGTGAAGAACACAGCGAACCCTCGATAATCCAGAATGATTAAAGCCCTGGTATGTTCGAACTGTTGATCTTACGGATTACTGGATTTCAAATAAAAAGTTGGATGTTTTAGTAAAATTATTTCTTCAAAGGCATATTTTAGATATAAACAAAGACCTGAACCTGCAAACGTTCGACTACATGCCGGCCTTGGAGGCAAGTGGTAACCGGCTTTCGGCTTTCACCCAGAGAGAGGCAGCCCCCCCCCTCTAGTTTCATGGGGTGGGGTGAGACTGAGTCCACTTGGTACGTCGGCCACTGTTTGGACTATTGTACCAGCCCCGGATGATAGATGATGTTGAATGTGGAGCAGTCGGTGGAATGAGAATTGGCAAGGGAAACCGAAGTACTTGGATAAAACGTGCCTCAGTGCCATTTTGTCCACAAATACCGCATGACCTGGCCTGGGCTCGAAGTCTGGCCGGCGCGGTGTGGAAGCCGGCGACTAACCGTGTGAGCTATGGCACTGCCAGGCAAGCCTCTTAACACGTAATATCACGTTTCACAAGAATTAATTTTTTTGCAAGTGCATAAAATAATTAGATTATATTTTTGGAGGTCCCTCCAACGTCTGTTGTTTTGATTTGGTGATGATGTGCCAGCTCGGATTTGAGGTTCCACTGTGGTGTATAGATCCCGAACAGTGCACGGAAAATGTGAATAGCGGACGCTACTGAAATAGCCGCGTGCTCCTGCCAGTGCTGTAGCACCCCCCACTAGCCATCCCCTGAACCTGCAGAAACAAGTCCTTTAGGCTGACAGTACTCGGCAGTTCATTGCAATTGTGACTCAGCCGTCGGATAACTGGTAGATGACTCATTTCACTCCTCGTCTGTCTACATGTCACTAAACTTGGGTCTAATGAAAGCTTCCGACACTGTCACGTTTGGGCACTGCCTTGAATTCCGAAGGACGCGAAGGAACAGTGACTAACAAACTACTTTTTTTTTCCTTGGCACTACAGCCCCAGTGGGCCTAGGCCTACCTCCATGAACTTCTCCGTTCACTTCGGGTTTTCTAGAACATACACATACGGTAGGACTCCTTGGGCGGGTGATCAGCTCGTCGCAAGGCCTCTACCTGTACACAAACACAGAAAAACGCACACAAACATCCATGCCCTGAGTGGGATTCGAACCCACGATCCCGGCTTCCGAGCGAGCGAAGACAGTGCATGCCTTAGACCGCTCGCCTACCGTGACCGGCAACAAACTACTTACGTACCTAATTGTAGGATATGACGTTCTCAAAGAGTTCCGTCTTCAGGGATTTAAAGCCGTGTAGTCCGTTGAGAATCAGCCGACGTGTGGCCTACATCTTCAAGGTCGAAGAATAAGCCAAGCAAGAAAGTATCTTCCAGGATATGAAGCGGAGATACGTTTGCTCTGCTTCACAACTCTTCATAACCATCAGAAAATCTTGCTACCTTCTTAATGTTTTTTTTTTTGCTTGGCCTATTCTTCGACTCTGAAAATAGAGGCGACATATCCCTCCAAAACGTTGTTGACTTTCAACGGCTACGTAGCGCTATGTCCCAGAAGACACAAGTCTTTACGTACTGACTCATCATTTACGTAATCTTCCATCTAACTAAAGAACTACCTACAAACAAACAAAACTTAACTAATTAAGTAAACACCTACTTAATAAATATGTACTTAACTAATAATAGTTACTGTTAGACAGTTTACGATATTGTACGTGTGACGAGATGACGGGTCATTTGTTAGCAGTACCAAGTCAGTAGTCAGTGTGCACACAATATTTAGATTTTACGTGTTATTACATGTATCTTTACACGACCTCGTGTCGGTCCAGCCTCAGTACAGCAGATCATGCCCTATCATTAGTAGCTCACGCTACAACGGCAGTGTCATCACTTGAACGGTCGTATGCTTGACTGCCGCCAAATTTAAGCCTCTTATATTTCCTGTGTCGGGCTTCGCCTTGTCAAATTTTGCGAATCTTAGCATTTTCACGATTTTGTATGACTTCTGTTTGTTGTCTACATAATTTTGTTATGTAATCATATATGTATGGAAGTTCGAAAGCCATGTGCAAATCGCGAATCGATGCGCGCCTTGGAAAATTGCCATTGGTGTGGAGAACTTTGTTTTGAAGGCGCTTCAATTTCAGTAGATGCTTGTCTGCAGCAATATTTTACATTGGTATTAGTATTTAGACTATAGAATGACAGGACGATGATAAAAAACTCCGTGACCTTTAGTCCGCAAGCGAACTGTACCGACCGAGCGACCGCCGCTTGTCGGCGAAGTTAGTAACAACTTCAGCGGATAGAGGGTGTCGCGTGGTCAGCGCAACGAATCCCCACGGCCGTTAATTTCGGTTTTCTAGACCGGAGCTGCTATTTCCTTGAAATAGCTCTTTAGTTATCCTCACGAGGCTGAGTGGACCCCGTTCCAGACCCACTGCTTCTCACAAAATCTGGTAGCGCCGGGAATCGAACCCGGAGCTCTGGATCTGTAGCCAGGAACTGTGACCACTAGGCCACAGAGGCGGTCACAGGATGGTGGTGGTGGTGATGATGATGATGATGATGATGATGGCTTTGAAAGTATCAGGGACAAAGCGGTAGTTGCCTAATCAGTGGACTGTCCCTGCATTTTCGTGAAGGGACTGAGGGAACTACGAAAAATATCAGTATAGCCTGTGGCTCAGCCGAAATTCGAACCGCTCAGTGTGTTAATTAACCGAAGTAGTTGGCCACTATTTTGAGCGTTCCTCGCACCACATTTGGGTGTGGGGGGAGGGGGGTGACGTTCAAGTATGTACGTATTATGAATATTAAAGGAACATATTTTATGTTATGTGCCAAATTGTTGTGCGATGAATCAGTTTTGAGGGAAAAGGTAAGATTCAGAGTAAACAGAAGAACAATCAGTGGCCTTACAAGGTCATAATTTGCTTAATTACAACAGTTATATAAATATTAACAAGCTGTTAAACTCAAACAAGTTGACAAATCATGACCGACCCTAACGGTTGGTTGGCCGTTACCATGACGACAGACCGGAAGAGTTGTTGGCGTCCATTCCGCTTCCGTGAACAACGAAACGTCTGGGGTAAGCTGACAATGACACCAGATGCATGTCACACAACACCAGGAAATGTCACATTCTCCGTGAAATTGCCACGAGATGACGTGAAATAGCTACAACTTTTATATAGGGGAGGAGAGAGTAGCTACCCTGTCCGAGATCCCATTCGCGGATAATTGCTGTGCGCTGAAGGTTTCACGGTATTCACGAAGTTCTGTGTTTTGAAAATAAATCGAATCCCGCTTGTTAGGTTCGTCATATCCGTTGATAGTAGGGCTTTGATCCAATTTCCGACGGTATTCACCACGTGGCCTGCTGTTCCTTTCGTACTACTTTTGCAATTAATATTACGTATATACAACACAGTTTTTCCCAGTCTGAACATACCTGCGGCGCAGAGCATTATAATTGTGAATTTGGGGGTACACCAGGCGTGACGAGGAGCCGGGGCCTATAAGCCATTTGAGAATACTGATCTTATATTTGGGATGAAATAATGTGACGAATTTATATATTTTCACAGTAGGAAGCTCGTTAGTAAAATATTATGACGCGACACACATGGAACTGCTTATGCGTCATACCAGTATTGCGGTACATACTCTGTTGTGACGGGAGACAGCTGGGAACAGCGCCTGCATGTTCTGGCAGATGCCTGAAATTGCATTCAGCCCCCTCATATGTATGCTGTCAGTATAGAATTCTTTTCTTTCCTGGAGGATGCCAGGCACGCTGAGTTTTTTTTTATTTTAAAACCAGGAGACACAGAAAATCGTTAGATAACTTCGTTAAAAATGCCTAACCTTAAAACATAGGAAAATTGTGTAAACCTATCTTAGTTAATGCTGAGATACTAAATTTGCACTAAGCCATGGCGCTTGCTTACTTACTCACTCATGGAGCTGAACCCTTCTTGAGGAGCCGCCAATTCTGCAGCTACTCAGAATTTCCCAGAATTTTATGGAACCCAAAGGTTCATTACTGTGTTCACAAGAGCCCTCCACTGGTTCCTATCCTGAGCCATATCAATCCAATCCATCCCATCACATTCTCTAAGATCCGTTTTAAAGATGTCCGCGCTATCTGGAGAAACCTTACGAATGTTATATATATGTAAGACTAGCGATATCTTCCTTTCAGATATTTGCGTGGTAAGGCATGATCTGTGTAGTTGACGAGACGGAATTGTTAGTTTCAGCTGTTTGGAGATGTCACGTTTCATACTGATCTCAAATACTGTGTAAATCTGACGTGACAGAAGCCAGCGAAACATATCGTGCGTAACATGTGAAGTGTTAAAACAGCTCAGTGTATCCCGAAATTAACATTAGAATGCTCCAAGGTCGACCAGTTCCGCCGGCCATTCGCCTGTTCTGTAACCCAACGTAATACTATCCCCTCATTTAGGCTTAGGGTTCTGAAGTGATCTCTTATCTTCGGATTGTGTGTACAGATCTTGACACCTCTTGTTGCATTGGAATCCGTGTTTGTGTGTTGCAGAACTGCGTGGCGCGCGCCTTGTACGATAACATTGCAGAGTCACCGGATGAGCTGGCTTTCAGGAAGGGAGATGTTCTCACAGTGCTGGAGCAGAACACGGGTGGCATAGAGGGATGGTGGCTGTGCTCCCTGCGGGGGAGACAGGTGAGGCTTCTGCCATTTTGTCACTCCTCCCCTTGTACTTTTGCTGTTCCCTTCCTCCGGTTCCTCTTCTCTCCCAGCTCTTGTAATTCTTCATTTCGCTCCGTTCTGTACGTCTGTTTGTCGTGCAGTGAGGTCATCTCCCCTTGCATTTCTTATTTCTTGCTTTTGTTTTTGTTCTCCTGTTCGTTACTTTTTTGTTCTGTTTCGCCTTTTCCCACTTCTCTCCTTTACCCATCTCATCATCATAATCCACGAAGTTGTTAGAGTAGTGAAACACATGGATGAACATGATTCCAAACGCGAGCTAACTCTTCCACTGAATGTTCAGGCCCCCCCCCAAATTAATGTAAAATAAAAAGTAAAGCTATCCCTGTACCAGCCCGTGAAGGCCCATAGGGTTGTGAGACGTTGAGGGTCCCACATTATCTAGACAATCTGCTCAAAGATGGCGGTAAGGTTGTCAGCCTTACTCGCGGGCCGCGCTTTACACCCCAGGAAAATTATTTAATTAATTCCTGGTACTCATTTGTGTTAGAGGCTGAGTAAACCCCACGGCCTAGTGCGGCTGGAAGGATTAGGTCAAGTGAAGAAATCCAATAACCTCATCGGGATTTGAACCCGCGACCTTCCGGCTTGTAGCGTAGCACCTCAACCACTACGCTACCGCGTGCCCCCCTCCAAAATTAATGTACTTACATTAAATTTGACTTCAATCGGAGCAATCCCCCGTTCATGGGGCCCTACCAGCTGTGTCTGTACATTTCATAGCTTTCAGATTAATTTTGAAAAGGAAACAGATCAGAGGGTCTAATACGTCAAGGGGAAAAAAAAAAGAAAGATTACAGCACTAAATTGTATACATGAGCCGGCATATCTTAGTCAGTGTAGTGATGGGCTACAGGCTGGAAGGCTGGGTTTCGATTCCCGGTGGGGGAAGATATTTTTCTCTCCTCCACAGCGTCTAGACCGGCTCGGGGCCCCACCCAGCCTCCTATCCAGTGGGTGTGGCTCCCTCGGGGGTCAAGCGACCAGGGTGTGAAGCTTCATATAGTGCCGAGCTATACCTCTGCTCCATATTACCATCATGGCACAGCACAGGGACAACGTAACCCATTCTTATCTTTTACTGAAGTCTGCATTGATATTATCAGATGGCTTACATTTCGGTCTTCATCTCTTCACTACGGGACCATTCAGACATGAAGTCACTTCACTTCCAGTTATCGCTGAAGTGTTTTTGATGTGTATGTCGTCGCAGGGTATCTGCCCTGGGAACAGACTGCGCCTCCTGGCAGGAGTATACGACACGGGGCAACTTCTGGCCGACAGCCCAGAGCTTTTGGAGCTAAACACTTTGCAGCGGCAGGGGAAACGGCGCAGCTGGCATGTCCAGCCTAACAAGGTGAGTTTCACACTTCGCATGATGTCGTCATGTTTTCCGACGGAGATGCTGTTCACCATTTCAGGCAAAGAATGTACGTATTTAGCGGATAAAAAAAAAAACTCCGTGATTTTAATCCGCAAGCGAACTATACCTACCGAGGGACCGCCGCTTGTCGGCGAAGTTAGTGCCGACTTTAGCGGATAGAGGGTGTCGCGTGGTCAGCGCAACGGATCCCCACGGCCGTTAATTTCGGTTTTCTAGACCGGAGCCACTATTTCCTTGAGATAGCTCCTAAGTTATCCTCTATATAGAATTTTGAGCCAAAAGAGCACTTTTTCCACGTTTGTATTTTTTTCTTAGTTTTCTTATGATTTTTATCAACTGTAACGTGGAAATGAGCTTCATTGATGAATGAACGTGTACTTTCATTTAAATAACATCGTTATTTTAAAACCGCGTGATAAGGGACCAGTGGAGGGCTCTTGTGAACACGGTAATGAACCTCCGGGTTCCATAAAATGGTGGGAAATTCTTGAGTAGCTGCAGAATTGGCGGCTCCTCAAGAAGGGCTCAGCTCAATGAGTAAGATAATTGATAATATACATTTGTTTATGTATTGCATACAAAACTGTTGGGCATGCTACACCGTTTTGACTAATTTTTGTGACAAACAGCAGATTTACTCAATAACAGATCATTTCATACATGTTATCGAAGATAAATGAAAATTCTTGTTCTTTGTGATCAGGGCTGTTGGCTAGTCGACTCAGGGCGGACCCCAGTACTTTTTTTTCAATGCCGGGGCGCCGCCCTATAACTTATTTTAGAGACATTCTCGGAAAGCATAACACAATTTCCGACTTTACTGTTGGGGCGAAAGCTTCATCCCTTTTGCGCGTGTCTGTTTCATGACCCGTTTAGCATCGAGCGTGCAGTGTTAGGCGGTAGCATTTCTCACCTGTATTCTTTCTTTTCGGGAAGTGCTTGGTTCGAATCTTGGCGGGACTTCGACTGTTCTGACAGATAATTCTCGTGGTTTTCCGCAGTCCATCCTACCGCCTCTTTGGTCTAGTGGTCAGAGGTCCGGCTTCGATTCCCGGCGCTACCAGATTTTCTGAGAAGAAATGGGTCTGGAACGAGGTCCACTCAGCCTTGTGACGATAATTGAGGAGCTGTTTCAAGGAAATAGCTGCTCCGGTCTAGAAAACCGAAATTAACGGCCGTGGGGATTCGTTGCGCTGTCCACGTGACACACACTATCCGCTAAAGTTGGCACTAACTTCGCCGACAAGCGGCGGTCGCTCGGTCGGTATAGTTCGCTTGCGGACTAAAACCACGGAATTTGTTTTGTTTTTTGTTTGTTCTACAGTCCATCCTGTCAAATGATTGGATAGCACCTTAAGTTAGACCACGCCCGCTTTCTTCCAGATGCTTTCAAATTCGTCATTAATTAATAATCGTACCATTCGACGCCATATAGTCTGATCAAGTGGTAGCGTCGGTAAATAAACCGTAAATAATAAACAATTACGCTGATTATCGTTGTATTTCATGCACATTTCTTTATCTGTCGAACTATATGCCAGGCCGTCCCGAAACTACACCCCCACAAATAGTAAATTGCAGTTTACATAACAAAATTGAATTACTACAAAGCAATATATTGAACTGTAAGTCACAAAAAAATACTGTCTTAGCGTTACGGTGCTTGCCTGGTTCAGTCCAATGAAGCGCATGAAAGTTGTTCTATGTTTGCATCGTAATATATGCCAGAGACCGCCCTGGAGTGTTTGTTGAACACAGTATGTGCTGTGTTTGCTAGCAACACTTCTTACAGTGAAAGGGCCCTTCCTCATCACAAAGGGCCTTCACACTGTGAAGGGACAAAGACGAAGGTTGGAAAGACCGAAACAAATTCAGTGACGTAGAGAGGTTTGAATGAGGTGGCTTTGTCGTGAACAGGTTGCATCATAATGCTGTGTGTAGCAAGGATCTTCACTATTCAGTGGCAGTTTTGAAGCAGAGGGGGTTAAACTTACCCCCCGTTGAAATGTTGTGGAGGTATTGTAACAGCGTTTAGTTAGAAAATAAGAAATTTGGTGATGAAAGAACCAACACTTAAGATTTGAAAAAAAAAGTTATAGATCTGCCTTGCGTTGTTTACAAATTTGTTATGTGAAGACTAGTTTCTGTTGAAATCTGTTGAAATATGAAGAGGATCACATGACATCGAGCCTCAGAAGACCAATCATCAGTTACCGTCGCGGACTCTTAGCGTCTCACGTAATGGAGATCGGTCCGAGCTTCTTGGGCCGAAGTTAAAAATCTGCCGACCTGTGTTAGTGTCAGCATCCCACCAGATTCAGACAAAATCCACTAGAAACGAAAGGAATCGTCAGTTACACTTATTTCCCCCCCCCAAATGACAGACCATTTCTGTACACACAAATCAGTTCATGTTACTTGCACAGTTAAAAAGGTGAAGTTGTTCCTGTGCTTGACTAATTAAGCACCACGCCATGAAGGCGTATGGGGGAGTGGATGTATAGATCCATATTTTCTTGACCTCGGCACTAGTTGGAGGTGAGTGGTCAGTTTCACGCCCCAGCTGCTTTACCCCTGGAGAAAGAGCCCCCGGCACCTATAGGATAGGAGGTTGGGTGGACTCCGGAGCCGGGCTGGACGACTTGGAGGAGAGAAAATTCTTGACCCTACCGGCGCTGGAACTCTGACCCGTCGATCGTCCAGCCCTTAGCCAGTTGCTATACGGACTCTTAATAGGATTTGGGGTATGGAACTTACTCATCTGGCTAAGGATAGAGACCAGTGGCTGGCTCCTGTGAACAAAATAATGCACCTTCATTTTCTGAAAAATGTTCGGAATTTCTTTAGTGGCCGAGCATCTGTTGGTTTTTTTGAAAGAGACTCAGTTCCATGAAGCTTAGTTCAGTTCGTTATCCTTCGTAAGTGGATAGGTTAGTTCCAGCTGGTAATGACACCATATTTATTATTATATGTATGGACTCAGTAAAGTGAGTTTCAGAAGACTGGATATGTCAACATTTCCACTGGCCATGCTTGTTCTGGGAGTGGACATTATAACTGATGGCAAGAGCGGTACGAACCTTTCAATTCAGGTCACAAAATATCCCCTTACTACTTGGAAATACATTTTAGAATTTGTTTCCTTTTCAGTTTTAGAAACTCTAACTTGCACAGTTAACAGCATATTTCTTATATGAAATAATACTTCAGGTGTTCTTTATTTACGCGGTACATAGTCGCATTCTATACAGAAATGCGCGTTGTAGTGCGAGCGGAACGATTTTCGATTTGGGGAGTGGCCCTCGGGAGAATCCTAGTTAATTTAAGTAATAAAATTGTCGCCATAGCAACCGAACCAGATCGATTGTTGAAGGTGCTGTGTTTCTACATAAGGATGTCTGCTATTCTGGGGCCAAGAAATGTTTATGTATTGAAGTTTCTTTCTTATTTCCTGGAAGCTAACTCACTTACTCACTCATGGAGCTGAGCCCTTCTTGAGAAGCCGCCAGTTGTGCAGCTACGCAAGAACTTCCAAGCATTTTATGGAACCCGAAGGTTCATTTCCATGTTCACAAGAGCCCTCCACTGGTCCCTATCCTGAGCCAGATCAATCGAATCCATACCATCCCATCCTATCTCTCTAAGATCCATTTTAATATTGTCAATCCACCTACATCTTAGTCTTCCCAGTGGTCTCCTTCCTTCCGGCTTTTCCACCAATATCCTATATGCATTCCTCCTCTCCCCCATTCATGCCACATACCCTGCCCATCTCATCATCCTTGACTCGATCATTCTAATTATACGTACTTGGAGAAGAGTACAAGTTACGAAACTCCCCATTAAGCAGTTTTGTCCAACCTCCTGTCACAAGAGGAAGTCATGATACGTGAAGCCCCTGCGTTGTCAGATAATGCAATCAGTAATTTAGATAAATCAATTTAACATTATTTAATTTTATTTATCATGTATTAACAAGAAACTCAAACGGACGCGTGATATTTTGACGTTATTAAGAAAATTAACGGGACTTGTCATTGGCTTTCGAATCAGATTAAGTTCAGAAGAAGTTAGAAAGAGCTCAGTTTTCAAAGGAGCAGTCTCTTTCACTAATAAGAACATTGTTCACTCTGCTCCCTACCTGCTTCATGCTGCTTTCTTGATTGGCTTATTCTTCGACTCCGAAAATGGAGGCGATATGTTCCTCCTAAACATCAGTTGACTTTCAGCGAACTACACGGCGTTGTATCCCAGAAGATAGAACTCTTTATAACCACCTCTGTGAGAACCTCAAATTCTGTATTATGCACACAGTTTCAGGTGCAGTGACCCGTTTTTGAGAATTTTGGCCAAGTTCGATTTGAACTTTATGGCAGTCCGGTTATATTGGCCTACACGAAAAACTGATTGACTCGGTGGAGCTGAACCTTCTTGAGAAGCCGCCAGTGGTTCAGCTACTTAAAATTTCTCAACATTTTATGGAACCCGAAGGTTCATTATCGTGTTCACAAGAGCCCTCCACTGGTCCCTAGCCTGAGCTAGATCAATCCAGTTCTTACCACTCCATCCTATCTCTCTAAGATCCATTTTAATATTGTCCACCCACCTACGTCTTGGTCTTTGTAGTGGTCTCTTTCCTTCTGGCTTTCTCACCAGTATCCCATATGCATTATTCTTCTCCCCATTCGTGCTACATGCACTGCCCACCTCATCCTCGTTGACTATAATTCTAATTATACTTGGTGAAGAGTATAAGTTATGAAGTTCCTCATTATGTAGTTTTCTCCAACCTCCCGTCACTTCATCCCTCTTCGGTCCAAATATTCTCCTCAACACCCTGTTCGCAAACACCTTCAGTCGGTGTTCCTCACTTAATGTCAGAGACCAAGTTTCACACACACACAAATCGAAAAGAAATTGGGCATATCTCTAATAGTATGTGTGTATGTATATATCTGTATAAATAAAAATAT